TGAACGGTTGTAAAAAATCAGTATCACATTTGTATATGGTAATTTTGGGAGAAAAAAAAGGCACTCTTCCGTGTGAACTTGAGTATAAATACACATTTTCTGCCCCCATGTCTTGAATTTGTGTTCATTCCGAATTTATTTTAATAGACTGAATCATGCAGTGATCAGGCAGAGCGCACTCTAAATGCGCACGTGCACTAGACTTCACGTAATGCCTGCACTCTGTAGGTGTTTTGAATGTTTTTTAAGGCCTTATATTAGGAAAACGTTATTTAAGAAATTTTAAGACTTTTTAAGGACCCGCGGACACCCTGTCATGAGCAACTATTTGGATACATGTTGGTAAAAATCTTTGGTACCTCGTCAGTGGGGCTGTCTGTGGTTGGTGCTGGTTCTGGCTCCATTTGGGTCACAGTGGGCAAAGTCTCCTGTGTGGTCATCGGCTCCTCCTGTTTCACCATTTCAGCTACCTTTTGCTCCAATCCGGTTGGCAGACCCATATCCTGCAAGACCTGGAGAAGGAATTAAAAAATTCAGTTTCTACCGTTTTAGACTGATCCAGTAAGCCAAATAATTGATCTTCTGCATCACGGTCTCTTACTTTGACAGCTACGTGTAGTTTGGCAGTGCGTTTGGAGGGACCAGAAGCTTCAAAGTTCTTTCCGTCCACCTCTACGGCCATAGTAAACACCGGCACATGAACGGGCCCAGTCTGAGAAATGAGTTTGTACTGCAGACCCGGCTTCAGCTGGTTCAGACGCATCAGGGCATTCATGGCCTGTGGCGGCTCTGCCTTCTCTTCTGGAGCTGAAGGCCAGAAAACAAGGTATGTTTTATGTGCAAAGCTCTGCATAACTCCACTATAAGCAGATTAAGAACATCTGAACAGCATTTACATTTCTTTTGCAATTTCTTCTTCTTCTTGTTTGGATTCTTCTCATCAGTAGCCTCCTCGTCCTCTATGGGGCGTTTCATTGGCGGCATGTAGGTTGTGCTGGGTGGGATTTGAACTATGGAGATAAAAGATGACAAAAGTCAAGTTTTTTGCTTCCAAATAGATAGATTTGATACACAAAACATCCATGAAGTAATGAAAAATGTCCACTTTCACTCACTTTTACCTGTGTAGTCAATAGGTGTCTCACTCCTTGGTTTTCGGGGCACTTTTGAAGGAAGCGGGTCCATGCCGAGTACTTTGTGCAGCTGTCCAAAAGCTGAAAGCCTTAAGGCATGCTGTCAACCAAAAAATTAAAACGTCACCCATAACGCTCAAATGAGATCTCCAAGCGATCAAATGCAAAACTGTAATAAAAACGGTACATTGTGGACAAACCTGAGCACTCTGGGTGATGTCCTCCCGCTGCTGGCGATCCATGTGACTGATGGCATCCGTTGGCTCCTTTTCGCAAGGGTCACAAATGCCTGAACCATCTAAAGCAGATAGATTCACATTCAAATTAAGCAATTTTAAAAGCATCTTTGTAGTATTCTGGACTTCTCGGGCCTACATAATGCTGATTGGTCAATAGAACACAATATGATATGCTATAATGTGAACACAGTGCACTCAAAAATGGTCTTTCATACTGTATTTTGATATACTGACAGGCAGTCATTTTGTAATCCGTTTTAGATATGAAGTGTGGAGCTGACTTACCAGCCATTAGGATTCCAGATGCGAGACACTCGAGAACTCTACGGAGAGCTTCTCCTGCTCCCATTGGCCGATTCCCAGTGCCAATCGCCTTCTCGCACAGCAGCTCTAAGGGCTTCAAGAAACAACAGCTACATCAGATAGATGCCAACATCTAAACGTTTGCCTATATTATTTTAATCTAAAAAGAATTAACAGGGAGAAAAAAAGACCAATGCTTGTAGAAAAAATTATATCACATTAATTCTTAAATCGTCACGAGGAATCAACATTTGATATGAAAAAATAATTTTAAAACTACTAAAAGAGCTTACTTTTTCCTCGAATATTTAAGTAAATTGTAATAAAACAAATGAATCAAAATTAAAATCAGCCTTTTTTGAAGACTATATAGTAGGGCTGTTAATAGATAATTTTTTTAATCTAATTAACGGCATAATGTGACGATTAATCAATCGCACAACAGCTCCGCTGTGGCTTTTTTTAGAACTACTTTCATTGGCAAAATTGAGCAAAAACAAAACTGACAATATTTTGTCTAAAACACAATATTAACTTCTTGTTTATTAAACTTCGTAACTAGTAAACAATCGCAGATATTGAAGAAAATGTGTGAGTGTGTTAAATACGTTAATTTTAATGTGTTATTTCATTATAATCACATCAAATTAAAGCATTAAATTGACAAAAACGTGTAAATGGGAAATTTAATGCAATTCACTTATTGAGTCTACATTTCAATGCAAAAATAAATAAGAAATGTTAAAACTAAAAGATAAATCATAAGACATGCTACAACAGCATGCTTGTTTACAATCCCCCCCCTGCATGGCAAGCCAAACCAAAGTTCATCACAGGACAACTTTTGGCATTTCTGATGTAGACTATATATACATAGCTATGGCTTATTGGAGGGCCAGCTCTTCATTTTTGTGATTAGAATGAATGGTCATTATCTATTAATGCAGCACTGTTTCGTGCCATAATGTAAACAACACAATTTTACACCAGCTTCTGTTGCAATTTAAATATCAGCCACCCCTATATTCTCGGGTTGTTTTGTACTTACCCATCCTCGCAGAGGGGCCCAGGTAGGAACACGCGCACAGAGGTCCCTCAGGATACGGATGACAATCACACAGGAGCGTAGTCCATTAGCCCTGGCCTAGAGACAAAAGCAGGAGGGATACAATCCAACGGTTTATCTCATGGAATCATAATGTGGCACAACACCAAAGCAATAAACAAACAAAGAAAAGGGGTGAGATTTGCCGATATTGAATAATGTGTCGATAAGCATTAGCAATGTAGAAAGGGTGGCAAATGGTTAAGTTACAAAAAAAAGCAATTACTCAGTTGAGAAGCTACATATATGACAAATATTAAGAGAGCAGATTAAAAACGTCGAGCTCAAGAGATGAGGAACACAACAGGACTTGTGTTTGTGGCTGGCCTTGCGATCAGATATTAAAGGGCTAGTTCACCCAAAAATTCAAATTAGCTTGTGTTTTACTTACCCTCGAAGCATCCTAGGTGTATATGACTTTCTTCTTTCAGACGAATCCAGTCGGAGTTATAATAAAAATTGTCCTGGCTATTCCAAGCTCTATCATTGCAGTCAGCGGGTGTTGCAGTTGAACAGTCCACAAGTCTTCAAATAAAGTGCGCGCATCCGTAATAAAACGTGCCTCTCACGGCTCCGGGGGGAGGGAATAGAGGCCTCCTGTAGCGAATCCATGTGTTTTTGTAAGAAAAATATCCATATTTCAAACGTAATAAGCACGTCTGCGGCACATTTTATTATGAATGCGCAAGCTTTATTTGACATCTTGTGGACTGTTCAACTGCAACACCCGCTGACTGCAATGATAGAGCTTGGAATAGCCAGGACAATTTTTAATCTAACTCCGACTGGATTCGTCTGAAAGAAGAAAGTCATATACACCTAGGATGCCTCGAGGGTGAGTAGAACACAGCCCACTTTAATTTTTGGGTGAACTAACCCTTTAAGGATGATAAAACGGGACAAAATACAAAATTCAACTTATATTGAAGGAAGGCCATATCTAGAGACCACAATATCATGGGCTTTGTTCCGACTGAATTTCATGTGGGTTTTCATTTTTCGTTGTGTGACATTTTAATGGCTGATACTTATATCTTTGGTTGGCTGTTATAAAGCGTATAAAAAACATAACACAATTTAATTTAAAAATAGTAAATAAAACATAACATTGCTCAAATAAAATTAACATTTATTTTATATAATATTTGAAAAATTTTTGAGCTTGATTAAAAAAAATGAAAAAGAAAATTACATAACATAAATTACATAAGATTCTGTTCTTTAATCCTACTTTAGTATTTTTTTCCCACAGTAAAGAAATTTAATTTAAAAATATACACTTCCGTTCAAAGGTTTAGGATCAATATGTTTTTTTTTTAAAAGAAGTCTCTTATACTCACCGACTGGAGTCATCTGAAAGAAGAAAGTCATATACACCTAGGATGCTTCGAGCGTAAGTAAAACACGGTCTAATTTTCATTTTTGGGTGAACTAACCCTTTAAATATCAGAACTTAGTTGATACAAGCGAGAATGTACTAGAAGATACTAGATATGGATTAAATCTGGGAAATGCAGCTGCTTTTTAAAGCACTGCATTAGGGATGCACGATATATCGGCCACCATATCGGTATCGGCCGATAAATGCTCATTTTTTCTGTTATCAGTATCGGCCCGATAAGAAAATTTGGCCGATATCTTAAAGCCGATAAATAATGCATTATTTCCTTCAGAGACACTTCAGATGCGTGCTGTTCGTTTGCAGCCTTTTGTGCAATTGTACGTTGTAATATTGTGTTTATTTGATGTATATCTGATTCAAAAATAAAGAATTATCGGTTATCGGTATCGGCCAAAAATTTCATATCGGTGCATCCCTACACTGCATGACACCAGTGAAACCATGAATACACTGATATGGTGGAAAAAGGTGCAATATTCCTTTGTGGCATAAATGAAAGCTGACAGATTTTTGCAGGGACCTGCATTAAATATCTAAAACTTACAACAATGTTCTGGGTTCAATACAAGTTTTAGAGGCGGCATCTGTGGCATAATGTTAATGCAATAAAAACAAAAAGTGTCTCATAGCCCAGAAAGGTTGCATTTTTTAATCAAAAATGCAGTTAAAACAGTAATATTAAGTAGTATTACAATTTAAAATAAGTTTTAATTTATTTTATATAAGTTTATATGCATATAGTCCATTTCTATTTATTTTATCTTATAATATAAATTTTTTTTTTTTGAAAATTAGTTTTTTTTTCAGGGTTCTTTAAAAAATAAAGAGTTCAAATTAAACAGCAGTTATTTGAAATAGAAATCTTTTGTAAAATTATCAATGTATTTACAGTCACTTCTGATCACTTTGTGACCTTGCAGAATAAAAGGTATTAATTAATAACTTTTAAAATCTATTCTAAATGTTTATTTCAAAATTTCATTTTTTCTATAATAAATGTAAAAATGTTAAAACAAAGTTCACATGAATGTTTTAAATGCCATGTTTTTTTTCCTACTAGCCAGCCAAATAATCCCTTTCTAGTTTCTTTCCACATCTCATACAAAAGCTACAGGGTTTGCTGGCTATATACCAAAAGGACAAGAGTTGAAATACTAGATATAAATATACTTTTGATAAGTTGTGTATTTTAATGTTTTTTTCTCCTGTCTGTATTCCATTATAGCAATACAAAAAGTCAAAATTGTGGCAATCAATATTATGCAAAAAAAGCTGATGACTCAAATTAAATTGCACTGAACCCAGAACATTCCTATGAAGGACAATTCGAATGATATTGGGAAAAAAAATATTCTCCAGCGAAGCGTCAAATAGTATGGCGGGCTGCAGAAATACTGCACATCCCATTTGCACTGAAATACTTGAATTGTAAAAAACTGTAAAAGCGGCAGTTGATACTGGCAATGACGTCTCAAAAAGGTAATAAACAGTTTATCGATGCGATAATACACTTAGTTAAAACTAGCCAGGCAGAGGTCAGACAGCATTGACAAAGATGTCCTTGGCAACGCAATTCATAACCATCCAGCAAGAATATGACATTCTACCGGAGGCAAATACACTCCCACAAATAATATCTACACAGAAAAACACATTCACACAAACTGAAAAAATAATACAGCATGAAATAAGGTTAACACAGAAACAAAATAATAACAAACTCAACTACTAGAAGACAAATAAAGACAAGATGCAAACCTGGAACCACTTGGCGTGGCGGAGGGACGCCAAGGCAGTCAGGCATTTCTGCCTGTCCAGTACATCCGGGGGATCGTTGACTGATAGCGTTTCTATTGGCAGGTGGAATAAGAAGACAAGGTACGGTTTGACCAAGGGGTTTTTCTGTCTCACGGCCAGGGGGGAGGAGGCAGATAACCCCTACCAAAGGCAGTAGAGGGGAGAGGAGGGGGAACCCCCCCAAACAAGAGCAACCCTTCCTGTGCTAGTACACAACAGCAGGACAGAAATCTACAAGTGGCTGGAGCATCCGGCTCTGTTCCAAACCCAAGTGAGGCTACACTCGACAATAAAAACCATAAATCTAGTCGTTTTCTACTTTATATTATTAACACACATATATTGGACTTGACATTGAATGAGCCTTTTTATAAAAGCTTAATTCAAATTGCTTTAACACATTATTAGAAAAAAATTTAAGTAGATAATTTAAATTACATTGAAATTTTACATTTAAACTAAAAACATGTCCATAAACATTCATGGTACATTCCAATATGTCCACATAAACTAATGCACACAGAAATATTGAGTAAAACAGTCTATTTTTCTTAAATAGACAGAACCACTTATAATTATACTTTTGAATTAACTAATAAACATACTTATGTAAAATACCACTTTACATGAAAGTACACCATTTTAGATCAAATTTCGGCACAAAACCATCGTAACACTTCGGTTGGTTGGCGTTTCAATGCCATGCCAAATTCCTTGGCAAAGTCACAAGTTGAAATATTATAAAAGAGTCATTTAAAAGCCTATATATAGTTTGCGTTACATAAACTCTAAAATGGATTAAGGGTTGACTGTTACAAATTTCTGTGAAAGTGTTTTAATAACGCTTTGGATAAAAGCATCTGCCAAAATGCATAAACGTTATTTATGCGCAATGCATCTGGACTAACTATGGAAGACACGTGATGATTTCGCCAACAATTTTCTGCCACTGTCTTCACCTGTGATGCCTCAAGATGGCGTCTAGGTAGGCAGCTCACTATGATTTGGAACAGAGCCCTTGTGGCTGTATTTTGTGGCATGAAGTGTACAGTGAGTGAATGTCAAAGGGAGGTTCTTCTATGGCTTGTGTATCTGTGAGATCGGAGTGCATTTGTGCATTCATGTGACATGGGGGAACCCCTCCCCCTCGCCCCCTTGTTTTTTTTTCTGGGTGCACTGCCTTGCCCCTTCCGAGACAGAGAGCGTCCAGTTGGTCAAAGGTCCAGCGTCCCTAAAATCGACAAACTAGAAGGCTTGACAGAGAGAATCAGATTTTGAACCACAGGCAGCAGTATTCAGATACACAAGAGGTATGATCAAAACGAGCCCACACTGCAGCAAAACTGATGGCTCACGATGGTCTAAGGCAGGCATCACTAACCGAGGGGTCACAGATAGGGCTAGGCTTTGAGTTCGGCATCAAGTTTGCTCTCGATTGACCCTTCGCTAAGCCCCGCCACCCTTTGGTTACCTTTACATCGCTTATACAAGTTTTGCAGGAAACATCCAGATATTTTAAGTGTTATTTTTTTAATAAGATGTGCTTATTAAATATTTTTTTATATTAATTGGATTAAATTGTGACAATGCAAAGTATCATAATCATAATAAGTTTAGAGTAAAATGACTAAAAACTGCAAAGGGAGCAGCTTTATTTAAAAACAACTGTAAGATGGCAATGTCATAGAACATGTAATACAATTGGTAAAGATTTAGCAGCAACAGTTTACCATATTTTGGTTAAAAAACTTCCATAGACCAAAGACCAGAAGTTTGTCTGATAAAATGGAGAATGGCAAAAGCTGCCAAGATTGTAAAAATGGGGTTTAGCCAAAGGTCAATTGTTTTCTTACCGAAACAAGTTTTTATGTCGGTGTTTTCCCTATACAACACCCTAGCCCTGAAAAAGCTCTTTACTAAACTAAAAAAGGGCACCCACAATTCTCTAAAGTTAACTACAGATCCATTGAGTTACTGTGACCATATTATGATCACTCTGGGTCGAATCTATTATTTACGCTGTATCCTAATGTCTAGCATTATCTATAACCCTCCTGCCCTCTGTCCAGCCTCTTTGAGAAAGGCTCTGTCAACAAGTCCTGGCGAACAAACCAGAACTCGACAATACTTCTGCTTCTCATTTTTGCTGCAATGCAAACCGTTCCCTTTCTTCTCCATTATACGAACACATGCAAACAACAAGGTTTGTGATTTTGTTTCTTAATTCTCAGTAAGCCTTCAGTAAACTCTCCTTTTAAATACTTCAAAGGGAACTGGGTCTTATTTAAAGCTTTACCCATCACTTATGTTACTGTATATTGGGCCATCAACACTCTAACATCACGCTGCAAGGAACTGTGAGACTTCAGGTGGCAGTAAACATAACAATCTGTGTTACATGACTAGTCTGTACACAATATCCCCAAGCTCCATTGAAGGCCCAATAAACAATATCCCTGCCTGAGTCCATCCCATCTGCATTTGCTGTCTCTGGGGTTGTGGGGTGGTTAGAGGAAGCATAAGGCACTTGATTTCAAACCTACCTCCGGCGGCCTGCTTCTCAGCCTCCTCCCTCACGAGAGGTGATGTCAGGTTAAGGGTGAGGGTCAGCGGTGGCTCCTTGGAGTTCTTGATGACAATGGTGGCATCACGGACGCAAGGTTTAACGTCATATTTTTCATCTGTGATGAGCTGTTGGAAAGATATGCATGTTTTTTATTCTGCCTTTGTAAACAATGCTTAAAATCAGAGATGCAGACATACCTTAAGCTGCACAGCGAGGTTCTCGGAAACTTTCTTTAACAGGGTGATGGTGGGTTTGTCTTTGCACAACAGCACAAGCTCCAGATCAAGATCTCCCTTCAGC